TGGAATTCAATAAAATTGATTCATGTTTGTGGCTGTAAGGTGACAAAATGTGGAAGTTCAAGGGCGCCGAATACTTTTGTAAGCCACTGTATATGTGTATGTGTGGTATATTTATGCGTATATCCTTACTCTCATTCCCTTTTATTGTATCTGGAATATGCAACTTCTGTCGGTGCTGTGCTACTGGAAACCGTGTTTCCTGGAGGAACCCACCCGAGGAATTAATAAAGTTTCATCTAATCTAAATCGCACAAAAGACTTAACATTAAAATCTAAGATTTTCACTGGAAAAAATTGCTTAGGAGTTTCTTCCCGTGTAGGATGAGAGGAAGCAGCTACTGTCAGTGGCTGTCTTATTCACAAGGGGTCACCACAGTGTGTAGTACCACTTGTTTGATTTGGTAAGTTTTTATGCTGGATGCCTTTCCTCATGTAAACCCAAATTGATGGTAAGTGAAACTGAAAAAAAAAAAAAAAGTTACACCTGTTACAACCTTTTCAGAACAAGACCAAAGAAGTCAGCCCCATGACGACTGATTATCAACATTGATACTTTTCTCTTAAAGTCATCCACTCCAGATGAGAAGAGTGGCACTCAAAGGACAAAGATTCTGACGCAAAGGCAACTTCCTGGATAAACATAACTGCACAGAGCTTAGGGCGAAGGCGAAGAAGAAGAAGAAGAAGAAGAAGAAAAAAAAAACTGGAATCAAAGAAAGTGATTTTCCCCCACAAAGTATTTTCAAACTCTTGCAACATATTCCCCTAATATATGAATCTCTGAGCTTCTGTACTGATGTATCATTAAATGGTTGTAAAAAGCAACACAGTTGAACACTTGTGTCCTCAACCCAGTGGCTGCAGTACAAAGACCAAGGTTACAAAAATCAAGAGGTGATGAATGGTGCGGTTTGCCAGGCAGTGCACAGAGAGTATAATGGGGCCGTAACTGTATGCCAAGTTGGAATGTCCAAACTTGCTCCAGTACAAAGAGCTTTTAACACAGAGGCAGCTCAGAGCGGATATTATGATTGGCCCTGTAATTCCACACAGGAGGCAGCACACGGACCAACGTGTCTGCTAAAAATCCACCCTGAGAATTAGGAAATGCTTCAAACATCCTTGGGAACAAAAGGGGGGAAAGTTAATTCAAGCATAGTGGTCACAGTAGTAAAAAGTCTGGTGTATATTATTATATTTTTACAATATGCACTGCCCATATATTGGCTTCTCTTTGATGGCCTCCTGTTAAATCTGTTGAATTTAAAATATTTCCTCACACATACAAAGTCTTGAATAATCAGTCCCCATCTTACCCTAATGCTTTAAAGTAAAGTGCAGCAGCCAGTCTGAGACTCGGTGTTTTGTAGAAACTGCACAATAAATTTTTAAGTAAAAAAAAAAAGAAAGAAAAGAAAGAAGTGTGATGTAGCAAATTTGATACAAAATACAACTCGTATATGCAAATATTTTATATTCTTTTATTATTTTTGAATTTATATTTTCCCCCATTTGACCAGGAGGTTTACTAAACACTCCATTTTCAATTCCATGTTATTAGCTTAACCTGCAAGTGCCTGGTTTTTCCAACAGAGCACTTGCCTCTCAGATTAGGAACCACAAGTAAGTCTGCCAAGTCTGTAAAAGTAGAATGTGAGGCAGAGCCTTCAGCCATCACCTCCATGCCCTGTGAACCAGCTAGTTGAAAAGATCAGATATCTCTCAAAAACGTCCTCCTGTTTTCTCTCCTGATGAGTCCATGTGTCCACGCAAGCCAAAAACCACATCTGTTACAACTGCCAGTTATATGTGGAGATGCGGGACGCAATTAAAGCAATGCAGATTTAATTAATTATGGTGCTCATAACAATATTAACTTGTGTGTATAGCTGGGGAAGAGACCTAAAAGTCACCTAGACTGGCAAGCGATCACTGATTGCCTTGACCACAGTCAATCTCCAAAATCATCATCTACTTCTACAGACCTATGGAGAGGTGATACATTGTTGTTATTGTTGGACAGCACTGAGCAGCTCTTTCTGTGGCGGGCT